ATATGGGTTCACTCACATAACCTCAAGTCCCCATTACCCACAATCTAATGGAGCTGCAGAAAGGGCCGTTCAGACTGCTAAGTATATCCTTAAACAGCCTGACCCCTGCTTAGCCCTCATGAGTTACCGCTCCACACCAGTTGCAGCAACAGGTTGTAGTCCAGCACAACTTATGACTGGACGACAGATCCGCACCACTGTTCCTGTCCTGGAAAAAACATTGATGCCAAGCGCAGTCGACTCAGACCTAGTCTACATGAAGGATGCCAAGGCCAAAGATTCTTACAGGTTCTTCTACAACCGCAGACACTCAGCTCGCCCTCTTTCTGACCTTCTCCCGGGTCAACACGTGAGAGTGAAACTGGATGGGGAAAAAGGGTGGACATCGCCTGCCAAAGTTATCAGTAAGTCCAAGGAGCCGAGATCCTACCTCGTAGAAATGGCCAATGGGAGTGTGACTCGTCGCAACAGACGCCACCTTCAGGAAGTTCCTGGGACTGATATTCCGGCAGCACAACATGCAGCTGAGTCTGCAGAACCACTGCAGGACTGCAGATCCCCAGCGACAGAAGTGGCCATTCCACCTGAACCACCATCAAATCAGCCAGTAGCAAGCCCTCCTTCAGGGTCCTCTTCCCCACCAAGTACTCCTGTGAGAAGAACTTCCAGGGGACGTGAAATAAAGCTGCCTCTGAGGTTCAAAGGGCATAATAATCCCTAGCAGGGCTGAGGGCAGTCTACCCCTGTGATGTCCTGTATTGTTCTGCATGAGATTTGTTAAGGTTTGTTGTTAAAAAAAAAAAAAAAAAAAAAAAAAAAAAAAGGAAATGTGGTAAAGTTGTTCTGAAAACATCTAAGTTATGTTGGGAAAAAGTCTTTGTTGAAAGAGACATTGACAGCTAAAGATTAAGCTAACCTAAGTAATTAATTGTATTAGAGAATGTACCATTTAAGTATCATTTAAAACATTAAGCTAACTTGCAGATGTTTAGGATCTTCCAATGTTTAACTTTAAAAGAAGGGAGATGTTGTGAGACTATTGTTTATCTATAGTAACAGCAGTTTGGGTTCCTGCCCACTGGGGGCGCTCTAAAGAACTATACAGGATAAACGAGTTCGAATAAGAGTATGTTCATGTTGTTAGTGGAATGCTCGTGCTAATAAAGCAAGCCCGACTTTTCAACTGTTGATGGCTACTTTCGTCTTCCCTCATTTCATGACAGCCAGACAAATACACCTGACAATAAGAACATGACAGGCCATGGGTCACAGAATGAAAACAGGTTGAAACATCTCACAGATGGTCAGCAGCATGGAAACCTCTGTCTCTTCATCAAACCTTTCACTATATATTCTGTTGTTTTCTGATGGTGGGAAAGACAAGTGGTAGATTAGCAACTAAAACTGCTTGGACAATATAGTGTTGACATCTGTTTCGTCAATATAGTAACCATCCATCCATCCATCCATCCGTACATCCGTACATCCGTACATCCCTGTCCCTAACGGAGTTGGGAAGGGTGCCTATCTTCAGCGAACATTTGGGGCGAGAGGCAGGGAACACCCTGGACAGGTCGCCAGTCCATCGCAGTCAATACAATATTTTTCTGGTATTTCTAATAGTCCAGGAACTGAGAACTTGACTCCAACTCCTGGTTTGTAGTCTATAGAGGCTCCAGATGTCAACAAATGTTTCAAAATCTTTAACCTCTGTATATGGAGCACCCACTCTAACCACTTAGCCACCCAATTCTTCTATCTCAATATATCGTCATTCACATATCTTCAAATCTTCTCTGGGAAAAGAACAACTTTGTTTTCTTAGAAAATAAACTTGTTGTTCAGAGACGACCTGTAATAAAGAGAACTTTGAGAAAGTGGTGACAGGTAGCACAAGAAGTCTGGCAGGCTTGTTTTGAGACTACAGACTGGACTTCTCTTTGCCAACCACATTGAGAGGTCTGAGTGTGTGAAGCCGGTGGAGGCTTCAAAAATTGCCTGGATCAACGATGACCTGACAAACAGACCACAGTTTGTGAGACTCAAGAGTCAGGCATCTAGCCATGGGGTCAGCACTTCAGGATCCCCACAGGGGACTCTCATCAGAACCAGATACCTGAAGAGGCTCAAGCAGCCTGATAGAGAAGACATCAACATGTATGACTTTGAGCAAACTCAAAAGATAAAACTTATTCTTCTGTCTGTGAACATGTCCTGTTTGTGTTAGATTATCACCAGAGTTTCAAGCATCACACCTGAAGTTTACAAAGTGAGACAAAGGTGAGAGCAAAATCCTGGTGTTTCTGAGAATCCAGCTCACTGCATGAGCTACTGAGTCTGACATGGAACTATCCAAATGAACTTCCATAGAAGCTTTCTTCACTTCACCTCCAACATTTTGTGTATGCACTGAATGTGGTGCAGCTGCAGTTTGCACAGCTGAGTTGCTATGGAGTCCTGCCAGTTTTCAGTCTGCACGTGCTCAGTAGTAACACAATAATACATCTCTCTCTGACACACAAAGACAGATTTTTGCTTCTAAAACATTTTTATTTTGACTTATGACCTGTAGAGTCACTGCAAGACCTAAATCTGACCTCAAAAAAACTTTATCCAAATGAATATCCTTCAAATCTGTAAAATAGAAACATTTTTACAAGATAAAATACACATATTTTATCTAGTTTTATCTTGACGAGTATCCATAATTGTTTTTATTGTTGGCATCTGATCTATAAAACCGGCTTTATTGATCATATATAGAGAAAAGACTTTGGGTAGTATCTGAGTTTATCGATGCATCTTAAAAGACTCAATGGATTTTGACATTTTACAAATTTAGATGAAATAGACAGAGTTATTATTGACTTCTGCACGAATTTGCTCTGGAGAGTTCAAAAAGTTCAGGGTGGGTTTGCCAGATAGAAAAGTCAAACCTCAACATTCTAACAGGTTAGAGATTAGGTGGAAATATTATAAAGCTCTTGAAACATTTATAAAAGTGACCATAGAGGAGTACAAGGTTTTCACTGCCCTCCAGTTATGGTTTTAAAGTTCTTCATGTCAGAGTACTGTTTGCACATCACGGTGTGTTGATGTTGCTGATCACTCCATTTTCAAAACAGCTGTGTTTTCTTAGTTGCCAGAGGGGGAAAAAAACACAATTCCACATTCCAGATCTGTAGAACTGATCTTTGGGACTGCTTAGACCATTCATGTTTCTTCAAGATTATCAAATTCCTGCTTGTTTTACAGTGACCCCTACTGCCACACAGATTCAAGATGGTCCTTTTTCAGTTACTTTCAATATTATTTATTTAATATGAAATCAAACTACAGTAGGAGCATCACAAAACATTTTACGAAACAAATAATTCCAATCCAGTCCATTTTAATGTCAATGTCAATGTCAAATGTATTTATATAGCACTTTAAAACAGGTATAAAACTGCAGCAAAGTGCTGCACAGGAACAACAGTAGCACAAATAGATAAAAACAGAATATCAAAAATTGCTTCAGTTAAAAGTCAACGAATAAAAATTAGTTTTGAGAAGCGATTTAAAATGATCCAGGCTGCTAGCAGATCTAATCTGAAAAGGCAAATTGTTCCATAAATTAGGAGCAACAACAGAAAAAGCCCGATCTCCTTTCCTTAGTCGGTCCGAGGGACTGGAAGTAAAAGCTGATTGTTTGATCTGAGGGTTCTGGACACAGACTGAAATTTTAAAAGATCCTGAAGATAAGGGGGAGCTAACCCATTTAAAACTTTATAAGTTAATAAAAGAATCTTAAAATCTATTCTATACATAACAGGCAGCCAGTGTAAATTGACCACTGGCTGCCTGGCTGCATTATATGGTCATGCTTCCTGGTTCCTGTAAGAAGCCGTGCCGCTGCATTCTCGATCATTTGAAGTCGATGAATCTGTGATTTAACCATGCCACTATATAAAGAATTACAATAATCCAGACGAGTCGTAATGAAGGCATGGATCAGTCCTTCAAAGTCCTTAAAACAAAATTAAGATTTGATTTTAATAAGTCCAATGAATTGGCACTTTCCTGGAATCAACTATAAATCAAGTACATATATTTAAATTTGATCCCAGTAATCAAACGCTGCAGTTCAGTTCAGTTTATTACTTCAATATGTAAAGCAAAGAGCTGAGAGAAGTTCTGAGAGGATAGTACTGAAAGACAAAGAGATTAACATATTTAACAGCAACAAAACCTGACTTTATCCTGAGAAAGAAAGAAACACACTTGTACTGGACCTGGTTTCCCACTGACAGAAAAAGAAAAAGAAAATATATTGTTGGCTTAACAAAGTCTAAACTTTTCTAATTGCATTTATCAAAACCAAAACTCTTTAACCTGAGCTTAGAATGTCAGAGTTTTTGCCTTAAACCTGGATTAACGTGGCTCTAGAAAATCACTTAGGGTTCAGTATGATTAGATAAGATGGCATTGACTTCATCTACAAGTTAAACCAACAACCAAATCTTTAATATAATGTGCCAGTGATCAGAGGTTAATATAGAAAGAAATTAGTTTTTCTCATAAGAGAATAACTTTAGGCCATTATGAATATGAACTGTAGGCTTTGTGAGCTGAACAAAAGCACAGTTTCTGGATTGTTTCGTTCAGAGGACGGTCTTTAAAAATACTTTTGTCCAACTCTGACTTTACTAGAAACACTGAATGGATGAGGATTTTTACATGGTAGGAACAGGAGGTGGCAGTGATGCTCTTGATATTATAAATAGCTGTACATTCATCATAGAAACGTAAAAAAATGACTCTCTGAGTCAACATTAATGGATTGTTGAAAAAATAATTCTGTCGATTATATTCAGGTTGTGGTTAGATTTTTTTTTCTTAGTTTATTTGGAATGAGAAAGAACAGATTTTGACTTCGATGCTGATTTGATTTGCATTCCAGTCCAGAAGGTGGCGGTAATGCGCCTGAAACCTGAACTGCCATTAAACAGAAGAAGAAGAAGAAATGCACTGACCAAGAAGTGGATGAGGTTGAAACATGGCCGCACAGCGGGGAGCCGAGGATCTGTTTGACAGTATTCTTTTCGCGGATGAAAGGTGAGTTTCGTGGGTGAAAACTGACCGCGCAATGTTTGAGGAGAGCTAACGACTGAGAATAAAAAAAAGATTATCCGCATTATAAATTAAAACAAAAAATATTGCTGACCTGGTCCTGTTCTATTAACCAGCCCGCCTGGTTGGTGGACGTCAGATGTCCAGTCAGATGTCCAGTCAGACAGCAGCGTCTTGCTGATTGAAGGCTCCTGTCTGTCCTCCAGGTTCCGCGGTGAGGGCTACCAGGAGGGCCTCCAGAGGGGGACCCAGCGGGGCCTGCACAACGGCTGGAGACACGGGGCGTCTCACGGAGCCAAGCTGTCATCTGAGGTGAGTCGGGCTGATGAGGCTCAGGTCAAGTCATCCATTAAAGCAAATGGTAACATAAATTGTGAACTATTCAAACATACTAGAGCTTTAAATGTTTTACTGATATGACACCGATAATGCTGTAGCAACAGTTTGACGTCATCATGTCAACAACCATTTCTGACTAATGTTGTCATGAAGAACTGAGGCTGGTCTCAAGGCAAACTGGTACTAGCATGGTGTACCTAATAAAGTGGCCACTGCATTTCTAACTCCAGTTGAATTGAGGTGTGTTGCTTTAAAAACTGTGATTTTTTTCCCTCAGATCTCCTTTTATTACGGATTTGCGATCAGCTGGAAATGTCTGCTGGAGCATCAGTCTGATGACAGATCACGGTATGACCAACTCAGCAGTCCACTCAGTCTGACTCCACCCTGTCCAGCCGCATCTCTGAAGATTCATGTCATTATGAAACAGCTACAGATCTCCATCAGTCCAAAAAGTTAATAAACTCTGAATATGTAGGAAAGTAACAGTGAAGTTTTGGTTGTTCTGTCTGTGAGCATAATTATTTGGAAAAAATATTACAAAAAATGAAAATGCTTCCATCTCTTTGATTTAATAAAGTCACAATAATAAACAGCCTTTAGATGGTAGGACTCCTAGTACAGAATATGGTTAAAGAAGTCAGATGTTTCAGCTGAACCAGAATCTAATGTGATGATTTGTCCCTAGGAAGCGCCTGAAAGCTCTGGAAGCTCTGCTGAATTTGACCCAGAAGTTTCCCATTGATGACCCGCAGTCAGTGAAGCTGCAGGACGACACAGAGAAGCTGCGAGCCAAGTTCAGACAGGTAGACATCAGTCTGACCCGCTGCAGTCACAGTAACACTCTGACTCTTTGTGTTTTGTTTCTGTCAGTGGGAAACCTTCAATTTTAGTGAATAAATGTCAACTGAAAAGTAAATGAATGAGCTTTTCTTCAAAAAAAAAAAACAACAACAAAAAACGCTATTCTCTATCGGCTGTCCTGCAGGTCTGCTCGATGCTGAATGTGCCCACTGACTTTAAGGATTACATCAGAACAGCTGAAGGGACGTCTTTCTGAGCGACATAATGGCCTGGCCTGGCCTGGCCTGGCCTGGCAGCAGCGCCAGAAGAAACAAAGCCAGACTGAGTGGGCCACTGCAGGCCTCACAGGAAGCAGTGGAAGCAGAGGCCAGTGGCTCAAGAACTCATCCTGGTTCTGTCCTGACTTCACATCAACTCAAGGAACTGAGGGAACCAAAAATGGTTTTAATTAGGATGGATTTATTGTTATGATGAGGATCCTCGGTGCCTGATGGAGAAGCTGCTGCTTTGTAAACAAGCTTCAGATCATACAGCTGATGTTGCTTCTCTGACTTGAAAAATGATTTGTGGTTCTGTCTGCAGTAAACAGACGGTGAGTTGAGTTCTGTCAGTCACCATACGGAGGGACGGGGCTGTCAGGCCCTGAATATTCATTGACTGGATGGTGACTGAAGTTATGGAAAGAAAAATTCTAGAAAATGTTCTTCTTTGTCACATTATTTCTTTGACCAAGGATATTTTTTTTCTGATATTTTTTTTAAAGGTGAACCTAAAAGGCTTCGAAAAAGATTCTTTGTGTGCATTTTAATAAAAAAAGGGATGTCAAACATTTTTGATTCCTTTCTTCATAATCAGTGATTTATTTATTTATTTTTTTGTCATTGTAGCAACAAACTGTTCAAATCAAGCCTCTCGCTACCTTTCAGGAATATCAGTGACTTCAAGTGACTAAACTATCGAGCATCACGTCTTCTGAAGTTGATTTTCAGTAATAACCGGAGTTATGATAAGTAGCCACTCTGGCAGAGTGTGTATGTGTGTACTTGCTTAGTTATTCTATTTTGGACCATCTTTGTTTCTCAATTCCTTTTTGCTTATTCATGTAATTTTGACCGTGTATTTGTTATAACCCGACTGTAGAACTATAACAAAGGGAGGCAATGCATGGGATATCTTAAAATTAGATTCATTTAACAAAAATTATGGTTAACTGGATAAGAGAGAATAGAGATATGGAGAGTTCAAAAAGGAATTAGAGAAAATAATGCATCATAAGCTGCATTTTAAGTTCTTGAGTAGACACTGGTCAGATGCCTCCATTTTCAATCACTGCCAATTTGACCCTGATGTTTGAAGAGAGACTCAGGTGTTAGAGACCAACTCTCCTCTTTTGCATAATGAGGCAGAAATGCATAAGGAAAAGAAAAAGAAAGGAGATGAGGAAATGTCAAAACAACAAACACTCATATAAAATCTAAACATTTCTTGATGAAAATCCATGAGTAAGGGAAAGGAAAGACAAAATATATACATATATATGTGTGGGGGGGGGAGGGGGGGGTGCGTGCGCGTTCATGTGTGTTGCTGCTTTTATTCTTAATTATGTCCATTTTTGTCCTCCATTTAGAAAAATTCAAAGGCACAATTTTGTGCCACAAGGGAGCAGTATTGGGTTTTTCACAAACTGTTCATGCTAAAGGAGCTGAAAACTGCAGATCAAATGTAAGAAGTGAATCAAGCCACTGCTTGAACCACAAGTAGATACTGTTGACACTTTCTGTTTCTGAAAGTTTCACGACATCTATTTGAAATCTGAGATTTGAAATAAACACACCAGCTAATGCTTCACTTTCTCACTGAAGGTTCATAGATATTAAATGTAACTGTACGCATTGAAGATTGAATCTAAGAATAGACTGTAGGAATATATGTATGAATGAATTACATGAATTACAAAGCATGAAAATGAATTGAGAATTAAGACACAAGAGAATCTGCCTCCTTAGTGTGACCCTGACCCTAATCCTACTCTCACATGTCCCCACACATCCTTCTCTCCTTGTGCTCTGTGTCTCAGCGGTGATGTACCAGACATTTATACCAATATAAATCTGGATCCATTATCTACTAAAAGATAAAAGAAAAGAATGACTGGCCAACCTGAATGTGTTCGCTGCTGCTCGTGAGAACTTATGAGAACCTATGAGAACTTAAAATGCAGATTAGGAGCATTCCTGGCATTACGAGGTCCAGATTGGAGCTCTGAATGCTACCTTCTGGATGCTGCATGTTTGCCCTGCATGTTGGATGCTGCAGCAGGAGCAGCAGTGGCAGAGGCAGAAATGTTGTTATTAACCTCAATCACTATCACCCAGCGGTGAAGTCTTGATCATGTCTCATACATCCCTCCTTCTATCATCTGAAAGATGTCAGTCATTTTCTATGACTTCAGTGTTAATCCTGATCTGTGACTTTCTTTTCAATGAAACCACATCAGCACTCAGTCACCTGGATCAATCAGGAGGCACCAGAAAGGACCAGAGACGTTTTTAGCTTTTGTCTAACAGCCTTCCTACTCGGCTGTTGTCAGAGCCACACTGACAATAACCCAACAGCCCTGAATGTGAGTGGAGGGTACAGTAGCAGCTGGTTTATGCGGCGGCAGGCGGCAGGTGAATGCTGTCTTCCAGTCGGCAGCTTCTAAAGCCAAACAGAAAAGAAAACGAGGGAGGGATGGGGGAGAGGAGTGAGGAGACGGTGGCTGGGGCCAAGTGGGAGAGAGGCTCCATTCAGATCAGCGGCTCAATATGGAGCCTTTAAGTTAGAAAATTAGAGACAGGAGGAGCAATTATCAAAGCACTCGTTCAAAGATAGAAAATATGGGAAATTAGTGTAGCAGCTGAAGATGGCTAGACATTAGCGGACTAGAAATCAGAAAAGGAAGAAAAAAGACTGTGGAGGATGAGGAAGAACAGGAGTTAGAGGAGGAGGGACTGAGGTCTTTGAGAGAATGTAAAGGAATGCAGGGAGCAGGTGGAGAGTGGTGACATGAAAAGCAGTGGTGACAAATGCAGCCGGCCAGCAGCGGCCACAGCAGAGCTCTCTGAATGAAATGGTGGCATCAGATTTCCCCACAAGCACAGCAACAGCTTCACAAGCAGGAGGAGGAGGAGGAGGAGAAAGAGGAGGAAGAAGAAGAATGAAAAACCTCCTTATAGTAGAAGACACCCTCTGTTCTGGAAGTGAACATTGAGACACGTTTGTACATTTTTCATTCATGCAATAATATATCATTAGCCTTAATATATGTTATATCATGTCTGGCTCACATTAATATCAATGGTCTGGTTATAGAAACCGAAGAACTTATCAAAACATGGTGGAACATCCCTGCCTCTGATTGGTCATACAACACATTTGATCCGTTATAAAACTGTGTGGTAATTTTGATTTTTAATACACTTCCGCTTTACCTACCTGTCTACATATATATTTCTATGTCTATATATGTTATGTCTATATCTAAATATATCTCCAGAATGCTTTAATAGTCTTGAGATTTCCTCAAACCTGCACAGACTCAAGCAAAGCAGGCCCAGAGCATCACACAGCCTCCTCCATGTTTCCCAGAGTTCTGGGCTCCTCAGTTGCTGTCATTATCCTTCTCCTCAATGTGTCATAAATGTTCCTCCTGTGGTCAGAGAGGTGGGCTACAGTCACTCTCATTCTAATGGAGACACTCCAGCCTGGGCTGGAACCCAACCTGAGATTTACTGGCTAGAGTGAGACTTGACAATGGAGAAGCAGCTTTAGAGTGTCTTGTCCTGGACTTAGACAGGTTGTCTACAGTTCTGATCCCAAATATCAACTTAATTCAAAAGACAACCAAGTCAATGTTTGGGAGAGGTCATCACAAAGCACTGACCTCAGCCCCACAGGGAATTTATGAGCAGAACTCAAAAAGTGTGTGTGAGTAAGACAGTCACAAACCTGACCCAATTCCAGCGGATCTGTCAGGAGGAATGGAGCAGAACTCCAGAAAAATACTGTGGAAGAAAACTCAGAACATTTGTTCCAAGTCATTCATGTTAACTTTATGCGTGCAAACTCTATTGTGATCGGTGTGCAAGCAGCTGAGGAACATGTTGAGGCAATCTTTGACATGGGAATATCGAGTTGAAATCTGGAGTCATCTTTATGATATTTTGTGCCGCCATCCTCTGGACGGTGATGAGAATCATGGTATTCATGCAGCCTTCATCTGTTCAATTATATCCAAGAATAGACATGATGGGAATGTGCAAGAATCATAGTCCTCAGAATGGAGACTGTTCTGGTCCGAAATGTGTGAATCAACTCGAACAAAAGCCAAAACAGAGTCATTGTTTGCACTGAAACATGTCCTGTATCAACATGGACTGAAAGGCCACTCAGCGAGGAGGAAGCCGAGACTCCAAAAGAAAAAGAAAAAGCCAGTTTATAATTCCTCTGAGATAAAGACCTTTATTTCTCAAGACATGTGATTTGATGAAACTAAAGTGGAAATGTTTGGACATAATGAGCATCCTTACATTTGCTGGAAAAAGTGGGGCACTTGCACCGTCCTAAATGTGACATATATGGTGGCAGCATCATGCTGTGTGGATTTGCTGCAGGCAGAACCGGTGCACTTTATAAGATGCAGGAGGAGCCTACCACTGTCAGTCATGCTCATGTAACACTAACCTAGTATGTCTTAGTGCCACACCAATAATTTATTTGACAATAAGGGAGAGCAAGTTAATCAGAAAGCAGGAAAACAGAGACCAGGTTTGGCTTAGTGAGTTTATTCCCAGTAGGAGCAAATTGGAACAAATCGGGGATTTTTTAAGGAACTGTGCAGTTAAAAAAAATACTGCTTTTAAAAGCTAGAAGTCCATAAAATAACTCAAAATGTCAGGAAGGAGATGGGATCTGGAGTGAAATGTGACAAGAATCCACCAACTGGAGACCGTCATGGCTGCAGAAATGAAGGTCTTTGTCTCTGTGGACAGTCTCACAGTCCAGGACAAGATTATTCTCTACAGTTTCAATTAAAGAATTCTGAAAGGAATCACATCAGTCCAATCCAGAAGGAACTTCCTGGTTCCATCCTGCAGCCATCCCTCTATTGGCTGCAAGACCCTCTGTGGTCCACAGCAGGCCCCTCTCAGTGGCGTCACTGCCCTGAAAACACTAACAGACGCTGACCAGAAGCACCGTCAATAGAGCCAAACTGGTCTGCGTTCCTCCCCATGAGGCTGAATCCTGCAGATGTCAGTGGAAAGTTTTAGAAGTTCATCTCTGTCCTGCTGTCTATTCAGCATGTAGTTTCCTAGTGATTCCTGTTTCTGCTGGGAGAATGGACCAGCACTTCACATTGATTTGTTCTCTTCACCTGGCGATCACAGTCAGTGGTTCTGTCATGTCATGTTACCTAACCAACCTTTTGGTTTCTCTGGTTCTGTTGGATTGAAACAATCATTTATTACAACAGTGCAAAAACACTACAAACATAAAATTTAAATAAAATAAGTAAAAATTATGCACTGAAAATGATCAATTGTAAAAATAATCATACTATCAAAATAAAACACATTCTCACTGTGTGACACACACCTTTCTCCTCTAGCTCTGCTGCACTGCAGCTGGTTCCCCATAGCAGAGTCTGTCCTGCTAGGGCTAGTTAGCATGGCCACGGATGACTGTGGCGGGAAGTTGTTTCTCCACCATTAGCACATTGAGCAGTATGTACACAAGAGTCACTGACAGCGCTAAAACTTCCTCCTGGTTCTGATTGGTTGTTTCTGA